CGTTAGAATCCCCTAAAATCCTCTCGATGACCGTGCAGCAGCCAAACTCACCTCCATCTCGTACACGTCCATCCCCTGACTGAGCGGCAGAGCGTCCTGTTTGGCGAGCGTGCACAGTCTGGTGATCTCTGCTGCCAGGTGGCCGCTCAGCTCCTGAACAAGTAAAAGTGAAAAACAGGAGAAACGATCAAGCTGCTTCACCTCTGACCTCGAAAACACTTTTTTAAAAGTATTTGGAAACATGTTTAAACCCCCACAGCGACAGTCGAGCTCACACCTCTGGTCTCACTGGAGTCTGTGAATATCTTTTGCCTGTTTTTTGACTCCTGCAGCTCTTATTCACAGTGAACAACAGCTCAGCTTTTTAATGTGCGTGCATGAAAAGATTGTAAAGCCACAAACACTCAACAATGAATGATTTCTGACATGATCCAAGTACAAAAGTCCATGAATCTACTTAGGAACAGTAAAAACACTGAATTATCCTGATTAGTGTTTCACCAAAGTGTAAACAAAGGCTGCATAAATGGAACTAAACAGAGAACAATCGTCATGTGGAGATTTTTACGATGGCGGCCACAGACTTAGATGCTAAATCAGAAAGCTGCAGAGGAAAATGAGAGTGATCTGAACTGAGCTGTAATGTCAGAAGAAGCCGTTAACAGCCTTCGTTGTGCGTCTCACCTGGTTTCTGGTCCTCAGGTCCTGGTTTTCCTGCTGGCACTGGCACAGGGCCTTCCTCTCGGCATCCAGAGCCTGGACCAGATGTCCGTTCTCCAGACACTTCAGAGAAAACTGATGCGATAAAACCTCGAGCTCCCGCTGACAGGAGGCCAGCTCCTCACTGCAAAGACACACACTGAGAGTCACAACCTGTCCGCATTTTCTCTGTTCAGCTCTCCTGTCGGCACACCGAGGTGTTCCCAAACCAGCTGCCAGACTCGATCTGTCCAGAATGTACTGGGCCTCACTGGCATCCTGATCACAGGCCTGAAACACCTCAGCTGGCTCCTTTTGATGCAGAGGAGCAGACAAAGGTGCCAATTCTCATCACTGCTGCTTCCCAGCGGTTATGACAGGGTGCTGGTTCCCAGTCTGGATCCAGTTTCACTCATTTCCATCAGGAAATAGACTGATTTAGAAAACTGCTGCGAGTTTGAGAGCCTGCTGTGATTTACATGTTCTATGTTATGTACGAGCACCTCCTACCTGCCTTCACAGAGGAGGGCAGGCAGGATTTTTTCGGGCTCTGATTGTTGAAAAAAATATGATGGGATTTAAAACATCTGCAGCCAGTTCAGTTCAGGCTCTGCACCGGCACCGTGTTGGTGGGGAAAAGGTTTCCTGTGGATTCTGGCACAGAGCTGTGAGCTGCAGGTGCTTTTGTTCTCCCTGTAAAAACATCTTTGACCACCAGAATCAACAGTCTGCTCTTTGTCCTGACGCCGGCCTGCGGTGAGGATTTTTCCAGAATGACATTTTGGTTTAACTCCAGTGTTTCTGGACCTGCTGGGATGCTCACGTACCTGTGCTGCCTGTGGACTTCCTCCAGGTTTGAGAGCCCATTGCTGTTCTCGAACTCACATCTCCTCTGCACCTCCCTTTGCAGCTCCAGGCGGTGAGCGTTTTTGATGGCTTCGATCGCTGAGAGGAAGAGGAGGAAGTCTGAATATTTGAAACTGAATCGATTTTGGGCAACGCCTCATCTCTTACTGGGCGGTTTCCCTCACCTGTTGCAGTAGCAGTGCTCTCCTCCTCTAATAGTCTGTCCCTGTCCACCAGGAGGCGCTCCACTTCCTGTTTGTGTCGACGCTGCAGCTCCTCAACCACCTTCAGGTGAGATTCTTCCATGGAGGCGAGTCCACGCTCGCAGGTGACCTGCAGGCGCAGCGGACGCTCACACAGGTCAGACACAAAGCTCGTGACAGGAAGTCAAACAAAAGTGGATGAAAGCGGCACCTACCTTCAGCTTCTCCGTCTCTTTCTCGTGCTGTAGCTGCACCAAAGTCAGCTGCTCCTCCAGCTCCTCCACCTTTCTTCTCAGAGCTGAAATCAGCTCCACGTTTCCATCTGGTTCATCGCTCTCCTCTAAGCTTTCATCTGAGACCTTCTGTGGGATTTCCATCTCATCTATCGATTCCTCCTCCTCTTCTTCACTCTCCTCTGCGCCCTGAAGCTCCGCGTCCTGGAGGTAAATCTCATCAGTCTGGCAGCCTGCGTTCATCTTCGATGTGCGTTGTTGTTCGAGGTTTGACAGTTTTGCTTTGAGGTCCTCGTTCTCCTCCCGGAGTTTGGCGCATTTTGAGCAGTTGGCGTGTTTAGCCCAAAGCCTGCACAATCGATGGC